ATATGGTTGAATTCTTCATAATCAGTAACTCTAAATTTGCATATTTAGATATATGTCATGCTAAGCTACTAAAACGAAAAAAGAAAAAAGAATTTATAAAGTACCTTTCCAAATGCTCAATTAGTCTTTTTAGTAATATATAGTTTGGTTTTGGTAATCTGTACAAAAGTTCCTTAATTGCATAAAATTTTTCATCTCGGCTTTGTATCTCTACAAAACAGTTGCAAATCAAATTATGTTAACAAATATATTAAGAAATTAAATATACAGTTGATACTGTCTAATTGCATGCCATCCGTCAGACTTTTTTATAATATAGACGGTATATGTATTTAAACTATTAATAATTAAAAACCAAAAATTTTTATGCAATTAGAGAGTATATGTAATTAGAAAGTATCTACTGTATTGTTAAAACAAATTATCGTACTGGCAGCTTGTATAAAATCTTCATATAATTCAAATGTTGTTAAAGGTTCAGGAAGAGAACGGAAAAAGAGTTTAAGAGCACCGGCAATAACATTTATATCTCTGTATTCTTCATCATTCAGGTTTACGGCTTCGGCATCTTACAGTGTTGAAATGTATAAGACTATTAATTAAACTTACGTAACAAATTAATGATGAGTAAAACTTTTTCTTACTTGTATTAAATGCAGCTCTGAGTTTATTTACAGAACCGGCTATTCCAGGAACACGATATATGCCAACTTCTTCAAGACCTAAATACACATGATATTAAGATCACTATATTTTATAAAAGAATAACAATATATATATGTATATACAAACCTCTCTTTTCTATTTCTGCTATACTTTTTTCAACCAGAAGTGGAACTTTTCCGTCCGCCATTAGAGTAAAAAGTTCTTTACCGTATACTACAATGTTTAATTTGAAATAAAAAAAAATCGTGAATATATTTGTATAGACAGTGGACAATCAATTATGTTAACTAACCAGAGCTTCGCGTCTTAGTTTCTTCTGGAACTACTTCTTCTTTGGGCTCTATGGCTTGTTCAGATTGAAAGATTGTTCGCCGTTTTTCTGCTCCCTCTTTGGCTGCATCGTTTATAACTCGTATCCATTCATTCATATTATCATAGTCAAGAGCTTGGAACAAATATTGCCCTCCTTCCTCACTTTCAACACGGAAAACAAAATCAAACATGGCATCATAGTCAACAGATGTCGCGGAGTTAATAAGATTTATAACAAGCGTAGGTTTAGGATTATTTTGAGCTTTTAAAGATGAACTTGTATTGCCAGAGGATTGCCATGTATTTGCTAAAACCATCGAAAATGGACGTACAGCATGTTTGATAAAGGATTCCACCCTGGATTTATTACGTGGCCTTTGTTGTATTCGAATTTGTTTTTCGAGTAATTTTGCTTGTTCATTTTGCTTCTTTTGTAGTTTATTCTGCGTCTCGCGAATATCTTTTGCAAGACGTTCTTTTTCTTTTTGATCTCGTTTGACTTTCTCCTG